GGTTTGCGCCCTGAAACTCCATTCCAAGAAGAGACAACAGATGAAGACTACAGTAGACACGGACAAAACCGCAAGACGAGAAAGGCAGACAACAGTGACGATCATCACCTCCAGTTCGGTGTTCCTCTTCCTAGCCCTTCCACATGCAACCAACGCCATGGCTTTCAGTCTGTTCCCGAGCATATACGGGCCGTACACGCGTTACGAATACCTGTTTACATCGATACAGGCTCTATGCTCTACACTGACGACCCTGAGCCTGTGTACAGATTTCCTTGCCTACATCTGGCTCAGTACAAGTTTTCGGACCACCTTTTTCAGAATCCTTCGTATCAGGCAGACTTCAACTCCAACCAGATATACTGACCAGAACACGGACCATACACATACATCGTAGATAAATACTTGATGACGTCTTTGGAATTGAAGCTATAAAACTATGAGAACTTTGTGACATTCTGAAGTGGTAGACATTCTGTTTGAGTGTGGTGTTTTATTCTCGTTATGGTGAGTGCAATGTTCGTTTGTTTGTGTTTGTGCATATGTCACATCAGTCTTATTCGCTGTACTCACATGTAGCAACAGTACTTTTGTTCAGGCACAATGTTAATGTTAATTAATGTTAAATCAGGACAGTAATTTAACCTAAAAAAACCGCCGTTCAATGTCTTATAATTTCGTAATTTGAAGTTTACACAGATTCCCGAACGTTGGTTGGTTGAGAGAGTGGTCATGTGATCTAACTTTCATGGTTCATTACTCTTTGGTAATGCCAATGTCGCGAACGAACCTGTTTCAAGTCACCGCAATTTTGGCAATGTCACTACCAAACGGATTGCCGAACATTGGTCCTTTTCACAAGAGTTTAATGTCTCGCGCTTTTCTGCTCTGTGGTCTGTTTAACAACTGTTCAATAAACAATCACAAATAACAGAACACATCAACGAGATCTGCTTCCCATTCGCCACGCCGCATAACTTCGAAGTCGGTCAGTGTATTATTACGCGGTCAAACGAATCCGTCATAGTGAAAAGGTACAATGCCAGTTTGTTAAAATGGTATTGATATTGCTATTGATATTTGTTTCTGTTTGATATGTTATTGATGTTATACTTATTAAAGCAGTTTCAAACCTCATGACGAATTTGTTGTTATATTTTAAAGATCGAATACTTTGTGAACTATTTCTTCAAGGATTGGGATACATGTGTAAACAAATCGCCTAGTATACAAACATCGCTGTAAAACGGTCTTGAACAGAATGGCATTACAACATTTTACAGGCATTAAACACATCACTGTAAACAATGATCATGTAGAAGTGGGTAAAAAACGTATGTGTGAACTTCAAAGTTCGAAATTATATTTCGAGAGTTTGAACAACGCTTTGACATCGTTCTTTTTCAGTGCAACCACACAAACTGACATTCAATTCTTAAGTAAACACATTTAGAAAACTCCTCCACTAAAAGGCGACATTTGTCATCACGGCAAAATTAGTTTGTCTTTATGAATATAGTGATAAATATACCACATAAAGTGAAGTGTCTTTGATGCGACCCTCTGTTACTGACCGCCATATAGCTGGAATAAAGCCATACACCGCCATATACTGCGGCGTTAAACTAAACTAACTCAATATGTTACTGAATATAATGGGGCATAGTGGTTTAGCGTTCGCTCGTCATGCCCAATACCTTGTGTTTATTCCCCGCATGGGTACAATGTGCGCAGACAATGTTTGGTGTCTCCCGTAGATGTGATGACGATGTCAACTGTACAGGTCTTACAGCAGATATGTTTTGGTGTCTCCCGTAGATGTGATGACGATGTCAACTGTACAGGTCTTACAGCAGATATGTCTCCGGTACAGGTCTTACAGCAGATATGTTTTGGTGTCTCCCGTAGATGTGATGACGATGTCAACTGTACAGGTCTTACAGCAGATATGTTTTGGTGTCTCCCGTAGATGTGATGACGATGTCAACTGTACAGGTCTTACAGCAGATATGTTTTGGTGTCTCCCGTAGATGTGATGACGATGATGTCAACAGCAGATATGTACGATGTCAACTGTACAGGTCTTACAGCAGATACAGCAGATATGTTTTTTGGTGTCTCCGTAGATGTGTCTCCAGGTCTTACAGTAGATGTGATGACGATGTCAACTGTACAGGTCTTACAGCAGATATGTTTTGGTGTCTCCCGTAGATGTGATGACGATGTCAACTGTACATGTCTTACAGCAGATATGTTTTGGTGTCTCCCGTAGATGTGATGACGAGTACAGGACAGCAGATATCACGTTCAACTGAAGATATGGTCCTCGAGGTACAGGTCTTACAGTTCCCATGTGATTGGTACAGGTTGTATCCCCATCACAGGTCTTACACTGTCAACTGATCTTACACATTATTTTAGATGTGATGACGATGTCAACTGTACAGGTCTTACAGCAGATATGTCTCCCGATTGTCAACATATGTTTTGGTGTCTCCCGTAGATGTGATGACGATGTCAACTGTACAGGTCTTACAGCAGATATGTTTTGGTGTCTCCCGTAGATGTGATGACGATGTCAACTGTACAGGTCTTACAGCAGATATGCCCCAGTGGAGATTCACGTTCAGAAGAGGTCCTCAGGTCCCAGTTCCCATGTTTGGCTTGTTCCCCATCAACCAACTGATGGTTAGTGACAACACTGATTCACATTATTTTCAGAAATTGGAATTCCCCAAATGTTTTCGCTCGATTGTCAACGTAAATCACGGGACATACTGGCGTTCATTGGGCAATGAACGACACCTGTGCTGTGTTGCCAGAGCTTATTTTGGCTAGGTCACCAATACTTTCAAAGTTGCAATAACAACAAATATGTGTTTATTCATCTGACAGGAACCTATCTGGTAACAGTAGACAGAATGGCATGCCCCGAAAGAGGGTCGATGTAGCAACTCACTTCATAATTTCACGTTTGGGCCTGACCAGTCGCAGGTCTAGGAAGTGGCAGTGAAGACACTCGATGATTGAAAACAGCCTTGGGGTATCTGTTCCAAACAAAGATGGGCGCTACTAAACCAGCGCTACCACCTGGGCGCCGTTTCACAAACGTCTCGTAAGTCTAAGATCTCGTAACTTTTCTCGTAGCATCTGTACCTCCTATACTGTATCATTGGAGGTACGAATACTACGATAACAGTTACGAGATCTTAGGCTTACGATAGCTTTGTAAAACGGGGGCCTGGTTCTGTTCCAGTCGTAGGCTTCGTTCCGTCACACCTAGGCATGTTCTTTCAAGGGATAATGCCTCCAGAAATAGCCAGGTATGGCAGTGCAGCAATGTTATACTACCTCAAAAAGTCGATTAAAACACATCCAAAACATGATACATCTGTTTTTGACGAACTAAATAAATATCTAAACATTGTTTTCCGTGAAACTTTACACACGTTTCCGTAGTGAGCGCATTGATATATTCAGTTAAAATAGGGAATATCGTGGTGATATTATGCTAAAACCAAGCTGTATGGTTTAGAAAATAAATATTCCATTACAAACGTGTTATAATTCTTGTGCAAACAGGTCAATGCCGTGCAAGCATGATATGCACTTAAACATGCTTCACAAACCTCCTCTTAATACCATATGTTGTGTGGTTATGTGCATACAGCTCAGGTCACAATCGGGTGATTCCTGAGAGTTTCGAGGGCTTAGTCCTGCCCCACAACAAAACATGTGATACGTGTGGTCTCACCTTAAGCAAGTGAGTTTGTTCAAACTTGCCTCTGTTCACCCAGCAGAAAATGGGTACCTGGTGGGATAGGTCATGTGACTAACAGACAGACTGGATTATCCGGGGTCATAATCGAAGCGCTTTGAGCATGTCCCTGTGACGTGGAACGGCGCTATATAAATGGCCTATCATTATTCTTATAAAATTGGAGACGAGCTTCGCAGAGCTACATGTTAGAGTGAGTGGACAGACGGCTTCACAGATGGAACATGCATCCATGAAATCCACGTGTTATCCCAGGACTGACGGTTCGTCATGTTACTGATTATGAGTCCCGGTTGAATTTGGATTTCCCAGACAGGCGCAACAGAGCGTTGAGTATACGGAATGAATTGGTTGTTTGGTTGTTGTTTAACACCGCACTCAGCAATTTCAGGCTATAAGGCGGCGGGCTGTAAATGTAGAGTCTGGACCAGACAATCCAGTGATCAACAGCATGAGCATCGATCTACACAATCGGGATACGAAGACATGTGTCAACCAAATAAGCGAGTCTGATCACCCGATCCCGTTCTTCGCCTCTAACGACAAGCATGGGTTGCTCAAGACCAATTCTCACACGGATCTTCACGGGTAGACGGAACGAGCGTTTTCACGTCGTTAACGTTAGACCGAACTATTGTAGACATATTACAGAAATAAACCAACGTTATAGACAACCCATGGCACATAAACGTATGTTAAAGTGAGTCTGTCACACTCAGCAACAACCATACATATATATGTTGTTCTCTGCACTTCCAGATATTGTTCACAAAAGTTAATTTGCACAGCCTCTAATAATTTACAATGACACGTTCTCCATATTTCAGAACCAAAGCAGAGTATAGTCACTACCACTGCATAAATATTTTGAATAAATCAGCGCATGTAGTGTAACAAATCTTTCTAGCATCCATTTAAAGATATAATAGCGTTTTGGTCGAGTGTTGGTATTCGTCCTCAATCGACACACTGTCAACTGTCTGAGTAAGTGAGTGAATGACTGTGGATGTGAGCTGGATGTGGAATGGAAGCCCAGTGTGATGCTGTATACGTCGTCAACCACGGTGGTGAAGGAACACACGCACAAAGAATCGGTGCGCCTCGACGACCGGGCTACACCACAGGCCCTCGTGTCTTTGCGAAGAATAAAGATTGCTTTTAAAAAAAGTTTTGAGATGACCCCCGACTCGAAATGCTTCACAGGTACCATGTGAGAAAATCCTGGCATTGAAATGACAGATCCTGTCGTCTTTATTGGCATAAATTCTGAACATGGTGAATTCTTCCTGTACTATTATTCTTCAACATGTACTGTAATGACGATAACTTCCATAGACAGGTCCGCCGCCATATAGCTGGAATATTGCTGAGTGCGGCGTAAAACTCAACTCACTCACTCCATAAACAGGTCATTTTTAACAGTGAATCGCAGAAAATGGGGAAGCGATTTTTTTCATTATGGAAATTTGAACTACCGATACATTTCTTTATCAAATTGATAACTGATTACCCATATGGGCAAATAATGTCGATAAATTTCCATTTGCGCTGAGTGAGTTTAGTTTTACACTGCATTCCAGCTATACAGAGGCGGTCTGTAAATATTCGAGTCTGGACCAGACAATCCAGAGATCAACAACATGAGCATCGAATTACGCAGTTGGAATACGATGACATGACCACCCAATCCCGTTAGTCGCCTCTTACGAGAAGCATGGCATTTGCGCTGAACAGGAACATGAAAGTATGCATGCATAAATAATAACCATGAAAATATACATAAACATGAACCTATACAAAAAAATGAGCATATATATGAACATGATCGTGAAAATATGCAAGAACACAAACACAAACATCAGTACAAATAATTCTCTTCCGAGTTGCCAGGTCCGTGTATTAACCTGCTCATTGATTCGGTTGGTTCATCCTAAGAAAAGCTTTCATTAATTATATGTCATGGTTTCCAAGTTGTGTAGATCGATGCTCATGCTGTTGATCACTGGATTGTCTGGTCCAGACTCGATTATTTACAGCCCGCCGCCATATAGCTGAAATAATCCCGAGAGCGGCGTTAAACAACAAACGTCAAGCACTGATTGTTCACAAAGAATGTCCATGTCCTTTTAAACAATAATTAACTGTCGTGACACTGTAACTTACTCACTCAATAAAATTTCAAATTTGATATCACATCAAAATGTTATAAAGTTTCTAAAACTGTGGTAGTAGCTGCATATAACGGTTGTATATGTGAAAGGGAATGTAAATAGGTTGAGAAGAAAATATCTTTTTTTACTGTGACGCGACTCCAGCTTTATTCTATGAATACCACGGTAATAGACTGAATTGGATACTGTACACGGTATTCTTCTATCTGTGGCTGTTTTGCAGCTCCTATGGATGCTCCTATCTGAAGGTGTAGCGGATGAGTTAGAAACCGAAACCTATTGTTTTACAAATACAGGGATCAAGTGAACAAGTACTGTATGATCAATCAGTCAAGTGAGTGAAAGGTCATTTCTATCGCAATTTGCTTCCTTTCATTCCCAGTATGTTGTTCAGACAAAATGTAATATTTACAATTGTTCGCATTGTTCATAGAATTGCCAACCAAATTCATATAATCTCTACATCACCATGCCCATTACAGTAAAGGCAAACACGACTCTGAAGAACAGATTGGTGCAGTTAATCCTCAAACAAACAGGAATGTGGGCTGGGATTGGTCAATGCGTGTTATTTTATAGTATTTGACTTCACAGAATATTACACAACCGCTTCTTCTTGTTTTTCTGCGACCTCTGAGCTGCACGAACTGCAGTTTGAAATATGTCAACCACACCTTCCTTTGTCTTCGCAGAACACTCGCGGTAAGTTACAGCTCCGATTTTGTCCGCCATATTTTGTCCTGCTTCCGGTTTAACCGGAAATTGTTTGCTCTGCGCCAACCTAGCCTTGGTGTGGTCATCATTGCGCAGATCTTTCTTGTTACCGACGAGGATGACGGGAACGTCAGGGCAGAAATGCTTCACTTCCGGGTTCCACATCTCCTGGATGTTATCAAAGCTGTCTGGACTGTCGATAGAGAAGCACATGAGTATAACATCTGTTAGTGGGTAGGACAGTGGGCGGAGGCGATCATACCCTTCTTGGCCTGCCGTATCCCACAGCGCCAGGTTAATCTACAACAGAAATAAGGTCAGAAAATATTATCAGGTATGACATGCCGACGGTTGGCGGAGAAAAGTGAAAAGTAAAACCTCTGTGATCTATGTGTTAGCATGTCACAACTTAGTTGTTCACCCCAGTTGTGAAAGCGTTCGCTCGTCATGCCAAGGCCCGGGTTCGATTCCCCACTTGAGTACAATGTGTGAAGCCCATTTCTGGTGTCACCTTCCGTGATATTGCTGGAATATTGCTAACAGCGGCGTAAAACCATATTCACACATTCACTATTTAGTGTTGAAGTAATCATATACGCATCTTGGCAAGCACAGCCAACGGTAGGACAAGATTTTGCGGTCTGGAAATCCCTGAGGTGAATTAATTACATTACCACCACAGCTGCCCTTGGCCGTAACGGTATCTATGCATAATCAGGATCAACTTCAATCTAAAGTCCAGGGCCCAGTTGTTCAAAACGCCGTTATTTTAACGTACCGTTAAACACTAACGGTCCGTTAAATAGCTAACGAAAAATTTGCTGGTAGGTCTTTTTAACAGGCCGTTAACTAATGGTATGATTAGAGGTTAACAGCCTGTTAAGAACCTAACCATTATCCACAATTCCTTGCACACTGTCCCATGATTCCCTGTCAAAATGGCATCCCTACCAGAAGCACCTGAAATGACCCTAGTAACCTCTGGCTGTAGATAAAGACAAAAGACGAAAACATTTCAGTGCCGAAGAAGAGAATGTCATTCAGGCAATGTTTCAGGAAAATGCTGAGATTCTTAATAACAAAAAATGAGCAATGAGGTTACCAATAAGGCCAAGGCTGCAATCTGGCAGAAAATAACAGATTGTGTAAACAACAAAGGCGTTTGCTGCCGTACTGTGGATCAAGTGAAAGAAAAATGGGGAAACATGGCCCAAAATGCTCAAACAGAAAAAATTCTGAATTCCTTAGGTTTTCTTTGTGGTCTGATGTTCATGAATGCTGCATTACGCTGGACAATAAACGCCATGTTGTCACCATGGAGCTAAACCTAGAACTAAGGCTAATGGTAACGTTAGTGAGCTAATGTAACCCCTCCCCTTCCGTTAAGTTAACGTGGTCTTAACGGGCCGTTAAAGGTTAACGGCACTTTGAGCAACAGACTGTCGCTCTCTTAAAATTTTTGGCTTTTGAACAACCGGGCCCAGAACTGTTAGTCACATACACTACCAATACATGTACCTTTTTGTTGTCTACTTCGATGACCTTTGCACAGTTCTCAAATATTGTTGGCACGTATACCTCCGGAAACGTGTCTTTCGCGTACACCATCAGAAGACATGTTTTTCCACAACCGCCGTCACCTATAACAACCATCTTCATCGTGGTCGCCATTTTTATTTCCTGAAAGTAAATCAAGATCTTTTCACTGTTTTTTCAATTACAACTACTGTAAGCAGCGGTGAAAGCTTAATGCGTCTGTACCCCATGGTGGTGGGCATGGAATGCCAGCCTGACTATTCTCATCAGCACATACCCGTACTCGCATCATCCTCGACAATACAGGGTATTATATTGTCGTTTGTCATGATAAACACCCTGGGCCGTTTTGGAAGTGATTGAGTATGGTTTTGCGCCGCTTTGAGCAATATTCCAGCAATAACGCGGCGGGCGGCGGGGGACACCAGAAATGGTCTTCACACATTGTACCCATGTGGGGAATCGAACCCGGGACTTCGGCGTGATGAGCGAACGCTTTAACCACTAGGCTACCCCACCGCCCCGTTTCGGTAGTGACTTTATCATATCCATCCTATCTCCCATGTAGCTCCAGGGTAGCTGATTGTATATATAACGTCATGACGTCAGAAGAGGTTCTGGTTTACGAATGGATCGATGGCATCCATAATATTGTACTGAAAATAGTGAAAGCTGATGCGTCACACAACATTCACTCACTAACTGTAAGGGCTGTGGAAAAAATAGCTACTTTAATTCACAATTCTGCATTAAAGACTAATTACTATTATTCACCGATTAAAATACATAAATGAAAATGAAGCAAATTGGGTTCGGATGATCTTTACAAAGTCAAACCGATTAAACTCATCGTCAGGTCTTGCGCCTTTATAAGTAGAACAGAGAGCCAATTCAAATTTGTCTTCTCCCAGGAAGCCCCGCCAAGTCGAACCCACCCGGAGAATGTGGAGAAGACTACCCAGCACTACATACTTTACAGCATTACAAACAGTGTCAGAATGGCTGTGTTCCTGGTACTCTCTCAATATTAGTCAGCAGATAGAGGAAATATCGGACCGAAAATTCAGTGAGTGAGTGAGTTTAATTTTACGCCGCACTCAGCAATATTCCGGCTACATGGAGGCGGTCTGTAAATACACATTTAATCGAGTCAGGACCAGACAATCCAGTGATCAGAAGCATGAGCATCGATCTATCCAATTTGGTGGCATGGGTTAACCACGGGAGTGTGTGTGGGGGTGGGGGAGAGAGAGAGAGAGAGAAAAGAAAGAGCCGGCTTTATACGGGACTATTCCAGACAATTTCATAGCTATTTTCCATGTCGACCTACATTTTCTGGATCGAACCATGGGGCAGCGCGAACAGACAAAACAAAACGCTTGTCGCAACGATGAAACCGTATCTAGGCACGCCATCTTGTCGTTTAGGAAAATGGTTTTGTTATTATTCATAGTATGATTATTGTTATTGTAGTCACATATATCGTCTCCATGTAATAATACTGTATACAACAGATCTGAATCATGTTAGCGGCACCTGTAGTATCCGGACGGAGGGTGCGTGTTTGACAACTGCGCACATGTGAGTACTCGAACCCGGATCTGGGACATGAAAAGAACAAATGCTGGATTGTTGTTACAGCCTACAAACAACTCCCAATAGACGCATGTACTGGAACAGCCCAGGTTGCTCTCACATGACGACTGCTACATAATGACAGTCGTGAAAGAGGGGTGCTCAGTATTGTCGCCATGCTTGAATGGAGTCGGGTGGAAACAGGGTGTGTAAAACTCTTGAAGGGTACAAGCTGGAAAATACCCCATGTGTGTGTGTGTGTGTGTGTGTGTGTGTGTGTGTGTGTGTGTGTGTGTGTGTGTGTGTGTGTGTGTGTGTGTGTGTGTGTGTGTGTGTGTGTGTGTGTGTGTGTCTGTCGTGTGTGTAATTTTAAGAGAAATCATTTCCCTTAAAATGTCGAAGACGTGTTGTATCTTGCACTGTATTTCAGTGAATGTTTCACACAGCTAGACATGTATAAACAATATGCTTTTGTATTAGTAGATTGTAAACAATCCTCAAGAAATACGGTTTGTCGTTGTTGTGATTATCAAATTTAGCAGTGTTATGACACCCGTGAACGTGCTATATTTTTTCATAAAACCAAATTGTACCTGGATATCTATGAGCAGATGAACCTCTCACTTCATTGGTAACATACGGGTACAACCCGGAAGTTGACACTGATCGCTCTCTCGTGTACAAAAGTGTGCGTGTCAGGTGCTTGTCGGGTGCTCATAGTATATGATCCTTACCTGGTGAACGTGTTGAGGTAGAACAACGGTCCAATCAATGGCTGGGACTACCGCGCACCTGTCTGGGTTCAGTTGTACTAGGGACACAAGTCTCCAGTAGCATGTCACATACATATATAGGCCGCTCGAACGACGCTAAATATAGACAGTTGTGTTGATTGGTCGCGGTCGCTCGCTGCTATTTTCTTTGACACACATCACCATTACTATCTTTAAATTTACACCAGTTGGAAATAGTCACTATGATAGTACGTCTCTATTGAATCTCGAATAATCACAAACGTATTTTGTCTTCTACATAAGCCTAATACAAATTACCCGTGTTAACAGGAAAAGTACTGAAACATATTCATATCTGAAATTACACATGTATACTTCAGTAAAACTTCGTACATAAAACTACCTTTGCAATCTTCACGGTATTGGTTTACCATTAGTCAACTTACACTTGCATATACGCATGCAATTCAAATTGACGAGAGGGAAAATATGTACTGAATCTATGTTTTAATCAGATTATATCCAAAGAATATCTCCAAACCAGACATGGGAATATCTCTAAATGCTTGACGAAGTAGGATCTGAGGTTTCGTTCCACCAAGAGGTCTCAAACAGATAAGTAAAATCCATACGATCCCGAGTTGGACGCCATTTATCGACTGAATTTAACCACTCCTTTGCTCTCGTCAGTTTTGGTCGTTTGTTCAGTAATTGTATCCTCATTATGGTCAGCTGCTGAACCAGATCTCCAGACAAGGATCCATCAAATGTATTTTATATCCTGTCACCACGTACTGTAACATTGCCACTGTCAACAAGTCACGAAATCAGGAGTCTGTTCCCCTATCTGTTGCCCGTGCTCCTTGCTGTCTGGTCGAGGAAGAAACCCCACTGTGCTCTGCAGCAAAATTAGCATCTATCGCTAACAATGATCCAGTTAAAATCGAAGAGCTGCAGCCATGTTTCAAGTTGTTGTCTGTCATCACCATCTTGTTGTTGCGTTCAGGCGAGTCCAATCCCGGACCTGGTACATGTGGCTGTTTCTCCCCTTCAAAGCAACTGAAACGTACAACTTCAGACAGTGGTACTAGCTCTGAGTTTGAGAAACTTCTTTCAGACATTAAAGGGGTCTCATCTTGGATCACTACCAATCTGAGTTGTCATCCAAACTTTCCGTAATGTCCCAATCCATTACATCTCTTACTGAACCCTTGACATTGCGACGCTAATGAACAAAGTTGACCACCTTGAAAATCAGAATAGTTGCAATAACTTACTTGTTGAAGGTTTTGCTAAAACAAGGCCAATCAGAAACGTGGAAGGACTGTGAGAACTGTTTTCGTGACATTATAAGAGACAATTTGAAAATGGAAGATTCTGTAATGAGTTTAGATAGATGTCACCGGATAAACAATGGTGGAGTTATCACAATGAAATTTATAGATTACAGTACAAAAGATTCTGTTTTGCGTAACAGTTAACTCCTTAAAGATAATGGTGTCAGCGTGTCTGAGGGGTTTTCCCTGTCAGTTATAAATAGACGTAAAATGTTAAAAGTAGAAATGGACAGAGCACTGCGCAAGGGGAACAATGCCGGTTACGCTTTGACAATGTATTTGAAAATGGCGAGGTTTTATCGTATGATCTTGACAACAACTGTGTGGTTGAAATCACCAAAAACACGCTCTTATGCTCCATTTTAAACAGGTCCACGTGAACATCGAGAACAGGAGTCTCATTCCCGGTCAGGTCCACGGATTGTCCTAATCTGCGCCGAGAGATCAGGAGGCAGCAAACCAAGGGCACCGAGAAAAATGGGGAGCCTGACGATATGTGCTTGGGATGCAAGCAAGACATTTTAAAGGCGAGGTCCGCATATTTGGCATGCTTTTCCTGAATCTTGCCAATCATATTGCTGTCAAAAGGGACAGAAAATTCTGTGATATAAATAAATTCATTGGCTTTATCGAAAAGGACAAGATCAGGTTTGTTGGCAGGAATTCTTCTGAGGGCTGTAAATGGGCCTATTCCAAAGATGTTTAAAAGCATCATTTTCCATGAGGCTCTAGACATGTTCAGGGTCGTACTCGGGACGCCGGTTCAGAGGTTGTGATACTAATCATGTCTTGTCGTTTATGACATGGAATGTTCGTGGTCTTGGCAACAAAATTCACAATAAAGATTTTATTGATTTTTGTTCTTCGTTCGACACTGTTGGATTAACAGAAAATATGGAATAATTGTGCAAAATAGATAATAGACCATTACTTCACCGATTATACAGTTTATTTGCATCAAAGAGAATACCAAAGTAGTGGTGGAGTTTTGCTTATGATCAGAAGTACAAATGTAGTTGGAAGAAAGGGTTTAGTATGTTAATGGTACCAGGTTACTGATACCTTCACTGGCAGCATTTATGTCCTTTTGGGCTCCAGAGTCTTTGGGTTTTCAAAGGATATCTTACTTGGTGCTATCTCCGGACATCCTCTTCAATCAAGACTGATACTCATGATCTCCCCATGGGCATGTAATGTGGAAGATAGATTCCATTGTGTCACGTCTAAAACTTCAGTCATGATCGGGATAGATTTCGCTTGTTGATGTTTCGGACGCTGTTGATGTGATGTTGTGTAATAATTGCAAGATTTTGAACGCCAGAACAGGTTCAGTGGAAGATTATATATTACAAGATGACGATAATAGTGACAGGAATATTAATATTTTAAATGACATGAATTGCAACACAGATTCATTTAATGTCTTAAGGTTTTCAAGAGATAAGGGAGTCAACAACTTTGGTAAAGATTTGATTATTCTGTACTGTTTGTATGGCCTCCACACGTTTAATGGTCGTTTCCTATGTGATCCTAACGGCAGTTTGGCATGTTGTACCCCGTATGGGGCCTTGTTGATTATATTCTGTGTTCAACGATGAATTTTGACTCAATTGATAACTTTGAACTACATTCTCGTACAGATTCTGATCACTTTCCTCTTTCGTGTTCTATCAACAACACGTTAAATCACGTAAATGAGGTAGAGGAAGATGCTGTTTTCCCGATAGAAATACACAAGTGGAAACCTCCATATTCCTTGAATATCTTAGTAATAACATGTCCAGGGTGGGTGTGAATGATTAGCAAATAATGATACGCCAGCAGCTGTAAGTCTTCTTACAAATTTAAAAGAAAGTGTCAAGACCAGACAATCCAGTGATCAACAGCGTGAGCATCGATCTACGCAATTGGGATACGATGACTCCTGTCAACCAAGTCAGCGAGCCTGTCCACCCGATCCCGTTAGTCGCCTCTTACGACAAGCATGGGTTGCTAAAGATCGATTTTAACCAGGATTTTCACGGGTGACTCAGAGGTCAAGCCATGACATGACCCAGAATATGCAGAATGTGCAGGGGGGCGTTATAGAAATGAAAACGTTTAGATAGCCTTACAAAGGCCCGAACTATGTAAACGTCAGTAAACAAATTGTTGTAACACTTGTATAACGCTCTTTGAAATAGTCAAAGAGCATGCTCAACTATACCCTAAATGTTGTGAAAGGTAATCTATACTGTACAAACCAAGACCGAAGCTATATAGTTCTCGACACATAAAGGAGTGAAGAGTGAGTTTAGTTTTACGCCGCTTTTAGCAATATTTCAGCAATATCACGGCGGGAAACACCAGAAATGGGCTTCACATGTTGTACCCATGTGGGGAATCGAACCTGGGTCTTCGGCGTGACGAGCGAACGCTTTAACCACTAGGCTACCCCACCGCCCCGACACATAAAGGAAAGGAAGTGGGGTTGGGGTGGAGGGCAAACGGTATGTTAATTGCTGAACGCCGCACTCAGCAATATTCCAGCTATATGGCTGCGGTCTGTAAATAATCCAGTCTGGACCAGACAATCCAGTGATCAACAGCATGAGCATCAATCTACGCAACGGGGAACCGATGACGTGTGTCAACCAAGTCACTAAGCCTGACCACCCGATCCCGTTAGTTGCCTCTTACGACAAGCATCGGTTGCTGAAGACATGCCGAGCTGTATATAACATTTTGAATAACTTGTTTCTCATTTTAATTGTTACTATTGAGATTTTAATTTCAATGTATAATGGAATTGTGCTTTAATAGTATTCTGAAAGGTGTTTGGTAATAAAATACAAAGCACATTATCTTCTGTTTTTTAAACAATTGTTAACTTTGCATATATACTCATGATAATAATGGTTGTCACCCCCTTTAATTTTTGAATTGGAGAGGATGTTTGAGGTGTGTGGGGGGTGGGGTGGGGAGAGGGTGACAACCATTATTGGCATGAGTATAGTAATACTAAGAAAGGTACGATACTTTATGGATAACAACTTCTATATTATATTATGATGCGACGGTTCAGTATAGATTCTTATATTGGTGTCAAAGCAAGAAATTAAGTTGTTATCCATAAAGTATCATACATTTCGTATTATTCACCAACTTCTAAAATGTCAATCAAATAGATCATGTAATATTAAATCTAGTATATCTTTAATATCCTGATAAGATGCTTCAGTTATAGTTTCTTAGCACTGAAATGAGACGTGCCTGTTAGAAAGTTTACCTCAATCATGGGATCTGCAGGTGCCAATCACCACAATTAGCATGACGACCATGTCATCTGAATAGGCTTGTACACTTCTTCCGAAGAAGATACCGTGTCTATCAAATTCAGTTACTGTATGTAAAAGATGCAGAAGCTCAGAGGTCAAAAAAGTGTGTGGATGTGAAACAGGGGATGAATTAATATCAGTAGTGCGTATAGTTTTAAACAAACATGTGTTAATTAAAATGTTTGGTTGTGATGTTTTATTGTTCATGTAATTTGTTTATTTGTTTGATGAAGAGGTCATTCTTTGTTGCTGCTGTGGTGATGCATCGCACCACAGTTTTCTTGTACAGTGAGTGAGTGAGTTGGGTTTTAAGCCGCTTTTGGCGTGACGAGCGAACGCCTTAACCTGCTATCCCATCGTCCCTTTCTTGTACTGGCGTGTGGAATGTTCTTCGTCTATCTGAACATGGTCATTTCATGGATAGCTGTGTTCCTCATTATCTGCTATGGACAATAATACAGTGACTTTTCGTTTGTTATTGTCTCACTATTCCTGTAATATGAAGGCAGCCTGTGTAATTGAACGTAGGCGGTGGGGTAGCCTAGTGGTAAATGTGTTCGCTCGTCACGCCTATTTTATAAGAGCCTAGTTTGATTCCCCACAAGGAGAAACAATGCAAAACGGCGCTGGTGGTCGGCGGGATCGCGTTTGGACTGTGCCTCATTTGGTTAAAAATTCCTTAGCCGCGACGTACACCAGACCCGCCACGGCGACGACAAAAGCCCACAGGTTTTGACCGAGCCATGTGACCGTTTCGACAAGAAGCCTAACAACCAGGAAACGATGCTGCCCAAGATGCCAGGCAGCGCTTTGGCAGCTTTGCCGACCAGTTTAGCCAGGGCTTCGCCGAGAGATTTCAAATGTTTTTTTATCCTGTCTCTGACGTCGTCGCCTGATGATGATGATGGGCTTGTTGGTGTTGGGCTTGGTGTACCACCACCACCCGTCAGCGATACGACCAGGGTCGATATGATGAAGCCCAAAGCCGTGAGAACGCTGGCGATGGTTATTCCTTGATCCCAGAACAGAATTCGGATCCTGTCGGCCAACGTGGTGTCCTCGTTCAAGACAAGGTCGATGGTTTCGCGCACGCGGCTGATTTGCGATCGGAGGGCTTCCCGGTTGGAGGAAGCGGCTTCCAATCTGGTCAGTCTCTCATCTTCCAGGTCGCGCAATCTTTTCTCGATGATGTTTTTCATGGCTTCGTCGTCGTCCACGATCCTGAGTTTTCTTTTCTCGCGAGCGATGTGCTCGTTGATTTCGTTCAGTTTACCCATGTTCTTCACTCACGTTTTTCAAGGTTTCGTCTACACCCAAAGTTCCCTAAGAGGAAATTCGAAACCGGGCAAGGGTTCGTTCGAGTACGTGACCAATGTTTTTTCGATTTCGTCCAATGCTTCTTTGGCGCTTGGGCACTTCTCTCGGATCAGCAGCGCTAGCATCACCGAGTTCGGTCCTCACGTTTTGCAGATCTCGGACGTTGTTTGGGTCGTGCGCTGCCGTAATCTCGCAGGTTAAGTTCGTCGCGGATCAGTTGACTACCGCCACGGCGACTGGCTAGCGTTGACAGGGCGAGCGGTTTTCTCGTGTGTTTGTTCATGAGATCGACCTCCGGATGAGCTTTCAATCGCAGCGTCCCTTCGTTGTCGATTTTGAACTTCGGATAGTTGCGCCCCAATGGTTGGACGTAATTTTTATCGCGCTTTAAAGCATCGTAATACTCGTCCACAGCCTGCTTTAAAAGCTCGTTGCCCACGGTGTCGCCCATGAACGAGGTGTCTATGGCTGCTGCATCATTGTCGTTCAGCTGGTGTACGTCAAAATCGTCCATGGGAATATCGTCAGCCATTTTTTTTTTTTATATATTAAACTTATAATATACATAGTTTCAATATAAACAATGTCCCATTACGGACGAAAGCTAGATCCTTTCCGAAGATCGAGAGAGCCGCTCGGGGTCAAATCCGTGCCTCAGTCGGTGACGATCAACAACAATCCGAGCACGATCGATCAAAACCAAATGCTGCTGGTTCGATTCCCCAACCTGGGCGCGAACGACGTCATCGACCCCGGCACGACTCGACTAGCTTTTCAGATCACGTTGGAGTCCACGACTGACAAACGCACGATCGTGAACAACCTGGGTCATGACATCGTCAAGAAAACCACCATCAAAATCAGCAGGAACCAGGTGCTGAGCATCGATGACAGCAACCTGATTTAAAAATCGAGCCCTTGGGAGGGACCTGATCCCGTAGCCCCATTGTGTATACTACTCAATTAAATACAGTGAACACGGTTTATAAGTACATTTTACTGCCATCAAGCACTATGAGTTGTCACGTAACATTACACAAGCATCATCACATATTAGCGGGACAAAACATAAGTACATCAAATCCAAATAAATTAATAATATAAACTAAAAGCCAAAATTAATCACAACGCTAGACATTAAGTACAACACAAGCATTGTGTAATGTCGTTTCATACAAAAGTAATTGCACATGAAATAGTCATATTCGAAAACACGGTTAACGCCTTAAAGTATACGATCAAATAAATACAGAACGCCAAAGGAAAGGAAAGTTTGCAGTAATTTCTCTCAAGCTTCTGATTCCGTCGAACTAATGTAAAGGTACAAGCATAGCTTCACTATTTCTTATTTCTGTCGGCTGTAACTTGTAGCAGTATAATCTGTCCGATGAGAAGAGCTGAGACCGACATGACAGAAACAAAATCACTTTACTCTCATTTAATCAACTTTACATTTCACCCTCTGTCCAATCACATACACAAATCAATATCGTCGTTTACGTAGAAGTTCGGGTTTTGTTTGAGGATGTACCAGTGAGCACATATTTAACCGTGTTTAACCAAAATCTGCATTCATATAAAACAGGAAATGACATAGCTGTCTTTCAAATATTTCAAAAAACGAAATGGGTCCACCCCATGTCGAAATGACACTGGAAAAACAAATTCAATGATTTCATAAGACTGAAGTTTTTCATTTGAACATAATATTTGTTAACTAGTTCAGTTAACGTAATTTGTAAGCCAAAGTCAATGCAAACGAAAAACACTGTATTTCAAACAATTAGATCTTCGTATGTTTTAAGGTGGAATACATAATTATAAATAGCACTGACTAGGAGGTTTCAGTTGAAAGATCTACTACAATAACTGACCCAAGTAATTGCCATTGTTTTACACATCAACGTGACTGTAACATATATTATATTTGAGATTACATGTTCTCAGTAAAGTACAGATTCGAACCCGCACCGAATTCCGGATGGAACTCAACCCAACAAAAGTACAAGAATCTGTACTTTACTAAGAAAGTTGACCACTTTCTAAATGACATTATGTAATCATCAACGTGACTATATCATAAGTTGGCAACCGCACAAGACCTCTGTTATTATTCTCCTTGTCACGTCTTGTGTCCCGTGATATTGCTGGAATATTGATAAAAGCGGCGTAAAACCAAAATCACTCACTCTCTTTCCTTGTCATAAGAAGCCTACATTATCTGAACTGTGCATTCTGTTACAAGTTACAAGAGTACAGATCATCAACAATTACAACAACGTTCCTTCGTACTGTTTGCAGGTATTCATACCCAGATTATATTTATGATGAAAGAAACTGTCAAATGAAAGTAGTTAATTACGGTAGTAGGAGTCATCTAACGTGATTTAGTGATAACCTCGGTTTCTTTATAGCCTTAGATCGTTATCTTCATATCATGCTGACTAGAAATGATTCACTAAAGCTACTCCTAGTTGTGTTCCTGACCTCATGTCTGAGTTTTATTTTAGTAACGTTGTCATAAGAATTGTTGGGGTTTTTTTTATCGAATTGAATTTTCAAGTTGTTTTTTTTCTTTGGCCGGTATTTTTGTCGGGCCTTCTTGCAGATTTATACATAAAAACCAATCGCCGAACCAAGTGATATGACTGTATGAATACATAATACAGGGGTAAAGAACTTGGCAGTGTAATGACTATTTGTCAAGCCCGGTAGTTTGGCGTATTGTCTGTCATCGCACTATGACAGGATTGTCTGATGGGATTTCATTACAGAGACATTGCTGGTTATGGGCATTAAAGAACAAACAAGTGTTAAAGTCATCATAGTCAAAACCTGATAATAGCGTTATTTTAACAACTTTATCACTCAGCGTTTTTTTCTTGAAAAGCAAGTCCAAAAATACAACTTGTTATTTCTTGATCATACACTTACACTATCTATTGCATTATTAAACATGCAGTATTTTGGACACATATACATATTGTCAGGCATTATTACTATTACATTCCATGTGAATCTCCCAAGGATAGCTTCAGGACAAATTCTCTGAGCCTGGAATACCCAGTTTACAATCTCTTTGTACTAATGTATTTTTTCAGTACGTGGACAATTTCACAGGATTACACATATACTGCGTTTCTTTGAAGTTTTCTTCGATCTCTTAGTGGTCAGCGCTACACTAGCTGCTGTTTGGAATACCTCCCTCACACCCTGCATCAGTTTAGCCGAACATTCGAGATAGGCCGCTGCTCCTATTCGCTCGGCCATATCACGACCCTCTTCCGGTTTAACCGGAAACTGTTTGTATCGCGCCAGCTCAGCCTTGGTTGTGGCATCATTGCGGAGATCCTTCTTGTTGCCGACGAGAATGACGGGAACGCTGGGGCAGAAGTGTTTCACTTCCGGGTTCCACTTCTCTCGGATGTTATCAAGGCTATCTGGGTTGTCGATGGAGAAGCACATGAGGATGACGTTAGTATCTGGGTAGGACAACGGTCGGAGTCGATCGTAGTCTTCTTGGCCTGCAGTATCCCACAGCGACAGCTCAACCTATATGAACCAGAAGAAATAACGTCACTGGAAAATGAACGCTCGTCAAGATAGATCACCATGACATCAAATTATATGCGCAAGACCACACACCACCACCAGAATGGGAATGTGTATCAACAATGATTAATAATAATAACTCGAAACCTCTTAGAATGAGAGTTTTTAAATATTTAGATTTGGTGTGCACAGATAGATAACCATCGTTTTCTCATTCAAGGTCGTTCTAGTGTTATGAGGGGCGATGGGGTAGCCTAGTGGTTAAAGCGTTCGCTCGTCACGCCGAATACCCGGGTTCGATTCCCCAAATGGGTACAATGTGTGAAGCCTATTCTGGTGTCCCCCGTAGTGATGTTGCTGGAATATTGCTTAAAGCGGCGTAAATACATAGTCACTCACTCACTCTAGTGTATGAGGCATTGTTATACGCTATGTAACAAAGTTTCATCTGTTATACATTGCACCTGTGGAGTCAGTAAGGGGCAGTAGTGTGCGAGTCGAGACATTTTACGACACGACTTGCAACAGTTTCCTTCACTATTCCCTTGTCAAAAATCCTGGAGTTAATTAATATGAGGCCTCATATGCTGCTGCAAAGTGAGTGAGTGAGTTTGGTTTTACGCCGCTTTTAGCAATATTCCAGCAATATCACGGCGGGGGACACCAGAAATGGGCTTAACACATTGTACCCATGTTGGGAATCGAACCCGGGTATTCGGCGTGACGAGCGAACGCCTTAACCACTAGGCTACCCCTACCGCCCCGCTGCTGCAAAGTATTTGATCCAGTTTATTACCTTTTTGTAGTAACATGTAACTCTGTGTTTGAGAATAATTTCTTAACTATGTAGAGATGTGTGTGGTGATTAATAATTTCAAAATTGAGACCTGTACTAACTAATGTCTGGGTTAACTCTCAATTTGGAAATCGCCTGGTAACAATATGCACCCAGCAGGATATGAGGAAGGAAGTACAACTAGTTTCATTGGAATGTCAACTTCTTTCCAAAGACAGCTAATTGTTGAATTAGATTATGCTTGAACAATTAGAGAAACCCTCTGTTTGAGGGACAGAATCCAGTGCCTCACCCACTCACTCACTCACTCACTCACTCACTCACAGTGACGCTTACCTGTCTACCGTCAACCTCGATGTCTGCGATGTAGGTTTCGAAGACAGTTGGCACGTAGACGTCGGGAAACTCGTCTTTAGTGAACACAACGAGGAGGCATGTTTTCCCACAAGCTCCGTCACCCACAATCACCAGCTTCCTCCGTCTATCCATGGCCAGACTGACTTCCTGAGGTTTTAGTCTTCGTACCGCAAACTCTTATATGGCATGAACGGTTGTGACCTCACTTCTGTTAACACAAAACTTTCGGATTTTGGTTTCTAATTTTAAGTACATGATTGTAGCGTATGTAAGATGAGTGAGTGAGTTTCAGTTTTACGCCGCTTTTAGCAATATTCCAGTAATATCATGCCGGGGACATCAGAAATAGGCTTCACACCTTGTATCCATGTGGGGAATCGAACCAGGGTCTTCGGCGTAACGAGCGAACGGTTTAACCACTAGGCTACCACACCGCCACCGTATTTAATGGTTAGATGTTATCAAATAGTTGCATTTCAAAACTAACAACGATGTGGGCGGTGGGGCAGCCTAAAGGTTAAAGCGTTCCCTCGTCAAAGCGACGTAAAAGTAAACTCACTCACCAACTCTTAATAGAATAACATCAGTATTTACATTCACATTTATATTTTCTAATCAAATATTGAATCCTAAAAATTATCAAAATCATTGTGGTTTGTTCTTGTAACTTGAACTTGAACACACAGTAACATAGTCGAAAATTATTACTATTCTCACCCATGTACTGGAATCAAAATATTTTGGTTCCACATCATACACTTCCCAAAACATTGCTGAATTGTCTGGTCCAGACTGGATTATGTACAGGCTCCTGTCATATAGCTGGAATATTACTGGCGGCGGCGTTAAACAAGGAACAAACAATAGAAACCTTCCCGAAACACCCCAGAACATATAAGTATATGTACAAATACATAACCGAGACCCTAACATTTAACATACACCATTACACGCCTCCCTGTCCTTCAGACAACGTCCTACTCGACAGCCGTGTCAACATTAGCAGGGTAGTTCGTATAATGGGAGTTCAAAGTCTTTGGCCCAGCCGCCAGATGGATACAGGCAACCTTCCAGCTGATAAGAATATAAGATTACGAAACACACAGTCATGTACATACCTTTTTGTGTAATTGTACACCAATACATGAAACTAGAAGACTGGCATATAGCGTTTTCAAAGTGTACAAGTGAACTATGTTCCTTTGTACAAACCTCGTATCAACATACCTTATCTGTGCTGATATGGTATCTGTGATAACGTCTCGAGGACAACCCGGAAGTTGACACAGCGACCACTCCCACTAATGAGATAAGACATGGCTATATAACACCCGTTTTAAGTTTAAGTCAATTAGATCTGTAAATCTCAAGGAACACCTGTGACCACAGAGAGGGTTGAGTTTGCCCGCATACCGATCCTCTTACAAGTCACGTTGGGCCGCCTACAGGTGCAAGGGATAATGGGACACATATTGACGCAAGTAAATAGCATGGAAATAGCCAGCAGTAGCTATGTGTCTCTTCATACACTCAGATATATTTCTATCACCAAACGGGTATAGGTTATATGGTATTTACTGTGATGACAGCTAAGTCTAATGCCGACGTACACACACACACACACTTCTCTCTCTCTCCCTCTCTCTCTCTCTCTCTCTCTCTCTATATATATATATATATATATATATATAATATTATGATGTAAACAGTGGCGTGGAAGTTAATATCTTTTGGTGCTTTTGGACTCATTTGTCAGCTGGAGTCATCTAGTTGGGCTGTAGACTAATCCAGCATGTTATGGAAGGTATTTCGACAATATACATCTGTTGCTGGCAAACCACACGCCTCTTTCATTTCACATCACATCAAGGTTACACCGGCAGTGTGAAAGTAATACTTTGGGGAGTGTAGGAACTGCTAGGTGTAGTGACAACGATATTTGGAGACGATGTTTGCAGACAAGAAATATCGTGTAATCATACTGAGTATGGCGTGAAACAACAATCACGCAGGTATGCACGCGTGAACACAGAGAAAACATAAGGTGTCTGAGGCGTCCGTAAAATACTGCTCTTATCCGACCCTTGGGTGATGCGTTCACTCGATTGTTTTTCACTTTATACATATTCTGTTCAGTTCAGATTTCATTCACGCATAGCCCAGTACAATATGTGTGTGTATCCTGAGTTCAAATGTTATCACAAAAACCACAAGCTAGATCCAGAATGGCAAACATAAGTAGGTGTCACAGGTGACAGCTGTGCTCATCATCGGGACCTGATATACCACATTCGCATCTGCATCTCCGAGGACGCAACAAGTCTGTCACCGTTGTTACAGATTAAAGTTATCACAGCGAAGTGTCTTATCCGGAAAACGATTCACAAACTCACTATCTGCCTCCTTCCGGTCGGAAATAGCCGGGAAATTGCTGGCGTAACGCAATATTCATTCATTCCTACCTCCCTCTCACTTCACAGAATTTTACATTTCGTCTTCTTGGACTTCTTCTTTGATTTTAGTGCTGCACGTGTTGCTGTTTCGAAAACTTCCCTCACACCCTCCTTTGTTTTAGCCGAACATTCAAGATAGGCTTCTGCTCCTATTTCCTCGGCCATATCACGACCCTCTTCCGGTTTAACCGGAAACTGTTTATTTCGTGCCAACTCAGCCTTGATGTGGTCGTCATTACGGATGTTTTTCTTGTTGCCGACGAGAACGCGATGGGGCGAAAGTGTTTCACTTCTGGGTTCAATTTCCTGGAAATATTCTCAAGACTGTCCGGGTTGTCGATGGAGAAGCACATGAGGAAGACGTCAGTATCTCGGTAGCACATCTTTCGGTATTGGTAGATGTCTTCTTCTGCCTCAGTATCCCACAACACAAGCTCAACCTACAAGGTAGAAACAACCAACAGGTCAAATGGGAGGGAGTATTTTTGTTCATCACTATTCCAATATATAACTTCGGTTGGAAAACTAAATGCACGTCACCAAGTGTACCTATGTTCGGGAATCGATCCCGGACTTTAAGCATTTCAAGTAAACGATGTATGTTAATTGGGTAATATCAATGACTAGATTAAAGTTTTGGTGCGATGTGTATGAAAACAAAAATCGGAATCACAGGCCGGATTTCGGCACGGTTTTTCGGCTATGGATAATATCTTCATTTTGCAGTCTGTTGTTGGTCGACTCTTAGGGAAAAAGAAAGGTAAAGTCTATGCCTTATTTGTATATTTTGCTAAGGCTTTCGACTTTGTTAATCGTTCCAGGCTATGGTCAGTTTTGCAACACAAGGGAGTTTCGCCAAAAATGTTAGGGTGTATTAAATCAATCTACGAGAGCGTAAAATCGAGTGTTCAATTTGATAATCTAGTTTCAGATATGTTTGAGTGTAATGTTGGAGTGCGTCAGGGATGTGTTTTAAGGCCCCTGCTATTTTCGTTGATTTTGCTGGTGAAATAGAAAGTTCCTGTTATCCTGGTATCCAGTTACATCCAGACTTGACTCATCTATTCTAATTACTGTTTGCGGATGACGTCGTGCCTTTATCTGACACGATTGGGGGGTTACAAAATCGAATTAACGTGTTACAACAGTATTGTCACCAATATAATTTAACTGTAAATTTAGATAAAACTCAACTGGTTGTCTTTAAAAACGGCGGAGTTCTTTCGAGGGATGAAAAATGGTATTTTGATGGCAATCTTATTGAATGTGTCTCATCTTATAGATATTTAGGTGTGGTATTTTCTAGGAATCTAACTTGGAATAAGCAGTTTATTAGTTCATCGTTGCAATCTAGAAAAGCATTATTTGGTGTTTTAAAATGTCTGTCGAAGCTTAGACATTACCATATGATGTTTTCTTTAAGGATTTTTATAGTAAAGTGATGTCAATTTTATTGTATGGTTCTGAAATATGGGGACTAGACTTTGGTTTTGAATGTAAGATTAGCAGTGTTATTGAAGGAGTTCATGTTCAAGCATGTAAATATTTTCTTGGTGTGAAAACGTCAACTTCAAACCAGGTTGTTCGTGGCGAGTGTGGGAGATACCCGGTATATATCTTTGCTCATAAGCGTTGTATAAAATATTGGTATAAACTGCTATCCATGCCAAACTCACGCTTGCCCAGACAATGTTATAACATGTTAATATTAGATATGAGTCATGGTAAATGTAATTTGGCTTCAAAACTGAGAAATGTGTTATTTAAAATGGGATTTGCCTATGTTTGGAATAACCAGTGTATTGATAATATTCAGTCATATTTATCAGAATTTATGGATAGAGCTAAATGTATTTATCAGCAAGTTTGACATACATCTTTGTCACAAGGTTCTAAAACATATAATTATTCTATGTACAAGTTAAACTTATATCCAGAGCATTATATTAAGCATATAACTATTCGGAAATTTCGTGTCGCTTTAGCCAAGTTCAGATGTAGGTCTCACCAACTGAACATTGAGATGGGTAGATATTCAAATGTTCCACGAAATAAACGATTTTGTGATGTTTGTAAAATGAACTATGTCGAAGATGAGTACCACTTCTTGTATGTTAGGCTTATGTCGATTTACGTGAACAGTTTATTCCTAGGAAATACTACGTATTTCCAACATTAGCTAAATTTAATCTTTTAATGTCAAGTGAGAACAGTGATCTTATAAGAAAGTTGGCTATGTATGTTGAGAATTCTATGCAATTAAGAAAAAATCTGTTAATGTAGGCAATATGTATTGTGGCTGCTGTACAACTGCTGTGTGATGGGCCGATGGCCGACGTCTCTTGCTGAATAAACCACTATAGGACTAAGACAATATCTAATCAAAGTATGTAAACATCGAATTATGCTCAGTGAAATCAAGACTGGTAGTCGGGAAGGGTTGGAAAGGTGTCTTAGAAGAGAGTTGGGTTAGACACAAAGTATTCAAGCGTTCATCATATTGGTTTCCTGAGTGGAAACTGTGGTGGCTGAGTGGGTTAGAGGGCCTTTTGCCAGCTGGTGATTAGGTGCCTGATTGGTGTCCTCCCATTACGCAGACAGGCAGTTAGCAAACACCTTAAAACAACAACATTTACGGTTCAATGAACAGATTAGCTACTACCCGTTACCTACACATTATAATGGAATAGTCCACGAGAAAAAATGGAGCTATAATACTTACTTTGAAAGATGGCCGAAAATACATTAATTTGAATTTTGATTGTTACAATATAAAAACTGTGGATTTTCATAAACATTTGGATTTAACACTCTCATCTAACGGGAGTTGGCTGCATCATAATGAAAACATTGTCAAAAAGACATCTAAAATGATTGGAGCATTTCAGAAATTAAAGTTCCTACTAAATAGAACAACACCAGTTTTTCTTCAGGATTTACCTGTAGTAGGCAACCGGACAAGCTATGAGTTCAGAAACTCCAATAACGTTATTCAACCGTGTAAAAGACTTAGATACTCAGCATCTCTTATTCCATCGGCAGTTAAAATGTGGAATAATATTCCCTTAACTCTTAGAAAATGCGACTGTGTTGCATCATTTAAATCTTATATCCACGTGAAAGAAAAATGCGTACCTATATATTATTCATATGGAATAAAGAAGGTAATTTAAGATGTTTTGCACACAAAATTAAGATATATGATGAGTACACTTAATTGTGACTTATTTAGAATAAACATAAAAAATGATGCATCATGTCAATGTGGCCATGGATGTGAAAATGTTTTTCATTATTTCCTTGAAAGTTCATTGTATACTATTCAAATACATAAACTGTTACAATCTTTAGAAAGTATTGTTAAAATTAGAACACTGATTGGTATAAGTCTTATCTTACATGGCAGTGAAGTGCTCTCAAAGACTAAAAATCAGAATGTTTTCAAATATTAACATATCTATATCTCTCAAACAAAACGTTTTCTCAGTTAACTTCTGTTGTACATATCCTGTTATTGGGAGAGGGCTTTTCTAAGTTGGATAACCTGTGCCCAATCATTTTCTTGAATAAATGAAATATGTTTTATTCATTTAATATCAATTAACACAATCAAACCTCTCAGTGACAAACCTGTTTTATATATTCGATAATAATTGATAGTAAACACAATTTTGAGAAGAGAAGACAGATTAGTATTTAATCACAACAAAGACAACCTGAGCTAAATACTTGAGAAAAATATGTCTCCTAATCGAGATGCTATATTTCCTTGATGTCACACTAATGGGAAGAATGACGCATACCGGTTTATCATCGACATCGATGTCTACTACGTAATTTTCGAAAACTGTTGGCTGTTTTCCTGAAATCAGGCAGTATATGGATAAAGCTTCTCTGAGGGAACTGTTTGTATATGGATATCCATACGAACGTATACACTGACTTTTGGTAAATCCACTGTGCAAGATAACAGTCATTAATCAACGAGAGATCGGTGAATACTTTGACCGCTGTTTTGTTCGTCTTAACTGAATCTTTTGGTCATATTCACGGACGCAATGTCTTTTACCAGGAGATATATACGACTACAGTGTTCCTGTCGGTTGTCACAGCACATGTGAGTTTTCGAAACAATAATCCGCTATTATGAATCCTTCTGAATGTACCCATGCTCACATTTCAAAGAGTGAAGAACCACACACACAAATGGTAATGTGCTTTCCTTTATGAAGACGTGAATAGTCTGAAGAAACCAAATGATTAGCTTGGAATAAGCATTGCGTCATGATATCGGTAGAACACGTGTTTACCGCGATAATAGGAGACGGAACTGTGGTTACAAGCATAGATTTTCAATCCATTATTTACTCAAGTTTCTGTACATAAAAACGGAAATAAAACACTCTAAATAAGTAAACAATATACGTCTACTAGGTCTATCGTGAGTGTAAACAAATATGGCGTCGCCCGTAAAAGTTGATGATTTGGTCAAAATTGACGGACAACTGGTTGGAAGAGTTGTGAATATTACCAGGCCATTGAATACCTTCAGCCTGTATGTTATCAGAGCTGCACAGGGAGTTTCTAACACACATCAAAAGATGAGTGGCGCTCTCGTATCTAGATCACTGCCACTGTCAGCCGCGGCCGCACCCGCTCAAACATCTGTTCTACTGCCACTGCCATGCCTCCTGTGGTTTCTTATATAGGGGTTCAAAACACTTCTCACAGTCTCAACACAATAGGCTTGAAATCGTCTTCATTCGAGATTGTAGGCAGTGTGTATTCAGGCCCAATTTTCGGTGGACTCTTCAACATAAACATCGAATCTCGACAAGTGGGAATTCCAAGCTGAGATGAGCAGGCGTCACTGGCGTCCTCCGCCAAGCGTCGCCGTATTATTTACAGTTACTCATCCTCCGATGCGAAACATTAAACACAACTATTTGAGACATACAGCTCCCTGTTACTCACATTCAACTTCCGTTGTGTGTGTCGCTCCTAATGCTTCCTTTTATCGATTCGATTCGATTCGATTGTTTATTTAGTAAAGACTTGGGCTATACTATATGCGCCTCATCAGTTTACACTGTATACATGATAGAATATGGTTATCCATTGAAATATACATATTTTTTACATTTACAAAAGGAGGCTGGACAAAACATTTCGGTACTTACATGCATAACTTTATGTATTTATCAATATTATCTTTAGATGTGTTTCTTAATAATTCCAAAAAAAGTTTAATCAGCTGTTTTCGCTGTACTGTATGTTTTGGGCAAATTAAAACGAAATGGTATTCATCTTCAATTACATTTACATTATTTTCTTTACAGTAGATACAGTATCTTTTCTCCCGATCACTATTTTCATAACGCCCAGTTTCAATTTTTTATTTACGACACGAAATTCGTAACATAGTTAAATACCTAACAGTGT